CGTCGCGTACTGCGCGTACTAGGCGCCTGCCGCCCCCAATCCTACCTCGACATCCATTAATACGCGACTACTCACGTTTTCTAGATGCTCGGTTCATGACATGCTATGACACCCTCACGTTTCATTTACATCGGATCTGACCACTACTGCGTATCCCGCCACATTAATACCACGTACTTATATAGGGGTCTGGATATAATTCTTCTATGTTCTACTCAATGGGAAAGGTATCTTTGGAGTTCTTTATATATGGCCCACCGAGCCGTCGCGGCGATATATATATAGCTTGTAAAGTTATAAAGTTAGGTGTACCACGCCACGCAGCAGACAGTCTGAGAGACCCGGAGACCGGGCTCGCCACCAAGTTGGCGCTCGAGCTTCGGGTGCTGCTGATGGCGGGACGCTCCTCTTTCTCGACTATCCACAGCCACCATCGAATCCGCGTGCAAGCCCGGGCGCGACCTATGAGGGCGAGGCGACTCGGAGGCGAACGGACTTGATTCCAAACTGGTCTGGGACTCCCGTACTTGGGATGTCACGTTCCAAATGTGGATGCTGCCCGGAGGCTGACTGTTCAAAACGGTACAAATGCTCGATTCGAACCACAGTTCGTTTTTATCCCTCTCTCTTCACTACTCTCACTCCTCCCCGACGCGACACTTCTCGCTCTTATTCTAGTTCTCCATCTATTCCGGCACCTGCCCTAGTTAGCACCATGCTTCCACTGGCCTTTGCCGTCGTCAGCTTCGTGGGCGTCGCGCTGAACCTCTTCGGCGCGACGCTCTTCCCTGTCCTCCTCCCTGTCAAGCCCATCGGACAACGGCTCATCGCCTCCTCTGCAACCTGGGTCCAGCACCAGTCCCGTCTTCTCGTGTCCTACACCAGGCGCCACCTCTCGAGGCCAGCATCCTCCGCCTCGAGACCTCTGGTCACGCCTTCGTTGCGACGGACGACTCCCACACGGCCGCAGCCACCAGCTCCAACATCTGCCAAGCGGCTCGTCGTTCGGTCCAGAGCAAAAGTCCTCGATGGCGCCAGTCAGTGTCGGTCGCACGTCGCACAGCTCCAACACCCGGTCTGCACTGTGTGGGACGAGCGCGATGTCGTCGCCAACCAGCCGCTCCCGTACTACTCTGGCCCCACGTCGCTGAACCTGTACGTCGTGTCGGCACTCTCGGTCTGCTCTGGCCTGCTTCCGACGACGACGCTCCTCCTGGCGCTGGACGCTGGACTGTCGACCCGGGACGACGACTGCGGCTTTGTCTTCTCTTGGCTAGGGCTCTTCGTCACGCTCGTCACCGTCCTCGTCGTCCTCTTCGCCCTTCACAAGATCTTCCCCAGCAAGGGCCAGCGTTCGCGACAGTCCTCTTCTGCCCTCCGGACGCGCTCTCGTGCTGCAAAGGGCGCGAAGCTAAAGGCGGCAGATGTCCCAGGCGCTGCTGTCGTCGCTCGGTCGTGGTTCCCGGCGCCCGCCCAGCCTGTCCTCGAACCCAGCGGGTGGTGGACGGCGTCCTCGTCGACTCGGGAAGCATGCGAGTTCAGCGAGGAGGTCCCGGCTGACATGGCGGTCGACATCGTGGAGGTCGTCACCACCGCCCTCGCAGCCGAGCCGCACGCTTCGGAAGAACGTCCCAAGGCCAAGTCAAAGCCGAAGAAGAAGCGGGCGTCGAACAAGCAGCGCAAGGCTGCCCCGGTCGTCGAGGCTGCTCAGACTAGCACCAAGGTTGTCACGGCAGAGGCTGTCACTTCTCAGGCACCGCTCCCCCGCGAACCGCAGACCAAGGTTGAGTCAAGGCCGAACAAAGCGTCGAAGCCTACGTCAAAGAAGCAGCGCCCGGCCCCGAAGCTTGTACAATTAGACAAGACCTCCCCTTGCTCAGCTGCTCCTCGCCCGGTATCCCCTCCCTCGGCACTATGCGAGGGATCTATGAGGCCGTGGTCCGAACATAAGCGTGCGTAAAATTGGACACAAACATGACAATCTTCGCTCATTCCGGTTTATAGCTCTCCCCGCTCTGAAGCCCGGGGATCTCGCGGTTCAGCAGCGCAACGAGGAGCTGAACCAGTCTACTGTCTTCCAGCAGGTCGGTCCATGGACGATGCCCAGGCGACCCGACGGCTCTGCGACGAGGATCTACCGCCTCCCGAAGGCGTTCCCTGCCCTGGGCGAAGTCGCACCCTCCAACAAGCCCGCCCGCCGCCTCAGGATGCTCGGCCCCAAGCGCGACCGCTACGTTCCCGGCGCAACGCGCATCGGAGGTCCCGACGGCTGGCTGGTTGACGCGTCCCAGAGGAAACCGGCGCCTCCCCCGAAGCCAGATCCCCGCAAGAACGCGAAGGGGAAGGCGAAGGCGAACGGCTCGACTGGGCGGCCGCAGGACGACCCCAAGTTGTGGGAAGGCACCGTTCAGGGCCTGATCCTCTCGGCCATAGAGAACGCTTCTGCCGCATCACCTCGAGGGCGCCGGGCTCGTGCCGGACGTGGACGCCGCGACTGAACCTGAGACTCGGATGCGAACGATACATCCGACGCGACGCGACTTTCTCTTGCAGGCTTTTTTTTTTCGACGCGACTTCTGTGCCGTCCGTAACGGTACCTCGGACGACGACTTCACTGCCAAGAACAAGCCAGCTACCCAGATATTCCACGCTTTTCTTGACCACTCCTACGACCCCGCCGGTGTCCTCAGGACTCTGGGCGACTCTCTCCCGACCGACCGAGTGTGACGCGACTGATGTGGCGGAGGCCGAGCCGTCTGCGCACATGGACAGGCGTTCACGACACCCCGACCGTGTGGGGCGAGGGGCGATACCGTGGATGTGCGTGCGCGTTGCACAGCACTCTCGGTTCGTCTCTTGTCTCCGCCCGGGCGCGGTGGAGTGTCTGCCTTGTCTTGCTCGCAGCGGGACCCGTCTTCCTCCTCGTCGTTCTCCCGATCGTCACCTGGTCGCCGCTCCGTCTCTCGGCGGTCCCTCGTCCGCTCTCTGCTCTGGCGTCCTGCGTCTTCGTGCGGGTCTCCTGGCATGGTCTTCTGGACGGCTTGGTCCTGGTCTGGGTTTGTGCGCTGTCGTTCGTCCGCTCGCCTTGCCTGCATCGCCTGGTGGATGGTCCTCGAGGAAAGTCTTTGGCTGTGGGTTCTGGGTTCTCTGCTTGGTCGGTACTAGGCCGTGTTGCGAGGGATCGTCGAGGGGCTGGATCTTAGAATCTTAGATGCATGGTTTCTTTTTCTTTTTCTCTCCATCCGTGTAATACGAACAGTGTTATTTATTGATTTTGGCTTGTACATGCCTATGAGAGTACGATACATGCAAGCTCTTTATGGATCGTTCAACGCAGGTTGCTGACGGGGCGGTTCATCGTCTTCGACTGGCAGGCCACACCGCCTGACCTTGCTGCCAAACAAGCATCGCGAGGCTAGCTTTGCTGGATATCATGCTCTCAAGTTCTCTGCCGTATCGTCCTTTGCCCACAGGTGACTCAGGAGTCGTTTTGCAGCACGCCGTCCGGTAACGGCTCTATGCTCTTGAAAGGCTTCGGCCAGAATGTGACCCTGTTTCTGGGCACAGGTGTCATGTTTGACAGTCTGACAAATGCGCCTTCGCTTATGTAGCCCACGTCTCCGATTTGCGGCTCCCCTTGTCACATGTGGCCCCCGGCCGGATACTAGAGGGCGCGACCTAAGTAAAGGGTCTCGAAGCTAGATGTATATGTTTCGTCTGGAGCAGTCTGTCGATGAGAGCGGCGGAATATGGCGGATGAGAGCCAGGTGGTAGTGCAAATTGGAAGGGTAGGGGTGTAGAAGCAAAGCAGACCTGGGACGTGCGCACGCTAGGATCAGTGACAAAGAAAATCCGAAGCGTCATGAGCCTGATAGCTTCGCATGAAAAAGACGGACGTCCAGATCTCGGGTCAATGCATGGCTAATATTGATATAGCACGCTGAGCTATGCAAGGACGGTCTCCGAGCCGATTAGCTACGTGCTTTGCGAAGGGGTCTTCCGCAACCCTAGAAGCCAGGGCGAACGATAATACGTGAGCTACGGTGTGTACGGTATGTCAGCATCTGCTCTGTCCCTGCTTTGTACACCACTAGCAGATCACATCACGGAGAAGCAATAATTGAACAGACAACTGCTCAAGAGATATTAGACCTCTTCAGGAGGAATTTCTCGGTGGGACTTTGTTTACTGTAGAACACGAGCACAATAGCCTATATGTCGATAGTATACATTCCAACTTTGCTGCACACTACAGTGGTAAGATATCCGGCACCGGACCTATGGCGACAATCTTGAACGGATTGATCTGTCGAGACGTCGGTTCAATACCATCTCCCAGAAAGCCATATATGTGTTGGCTCACATTGCTCATGCTATAGTATCCTCCCTTGATATGCTGGAAGTTGCACGTGTCCTTGAACGCGGGGACAGACCAGTAGAGCCTGCGTAGCCAGCGGTGAAGAGCGGGGTAGTCCGCGCGGATGCTGCGGATGTTGCACTTGAATTGCGTGTGGTACGCGACGTCAAAGCGGATCTGCATGCGAATGTTAAACGTCAGATAGAGCGCGCAAAACGATGCGGCGCGGAACGACGTACGATAGTGACGAAGAGGCGCACGTCTGCCTCGGTCAGTCGATCGCCTATGAGGTAGTCCTTGCCCGTAAGAATCCCCTCGAGGCGGTCGAGCGAGCTAAAGAGTGCGAGGACCGCGTCCTCGTATGCCTTTTGCGTCTGGGCGAAGCCAGCCCTGTACACTCCATCTACAGACACGCTGGTCGTGAGCTTACGAACAGGCTCGTCGATACAAAATACACACTGTTGACAGTGTCGTAGACCCACTCGTTGAGAGCATCGATCTCGGGGCGGAGGGACTCGGGGTAGAGGTCGAGCGCGGCCTGTTCGGTGGGCAGGAGATGGTTGAATGCGCTGTTGAATATGCGAACAATCTCGGAGCTCTCGTTGTTCACGATTGTATGCTGCTGCTTGTCCCAGAGGAGCGGGACGGTGAACCTGGCATCGCTCATCAGCAGACATTGAGAGATGACTGGTAACCGCAAAGCATACCTGCCCTCATAGTCGGGCTGCACGCGGAGGTACAGCTCCTTGAGGTGGCTGGCCCCGTGGAGGGGGTCCAAGTCCGCCCCAGGGAATGGATCAACATTGGCGAACGGCCAGCCATTGGCATCCATGCGCGGCGAGACGGCAGTCACCGCTGGTTTGGCATGAGCGTGGAAACGGGAGCCAGAGAGTATTCGCGCTTACGAATGATGTCTTCGAGGCCCTTGAGTTGCCGGACAATCAGAGTACGAGTTGCCCAAGCTGCGATGGAAAGTCAATAGTGTCCCCACCGCACATTCTCGAAAGACATACGGCACCCGTACGACACGTAGAGATGGTAGCGTCCTACAATCATAACAGTATTAAGCGGACGCCGCCAACGACACATACAACTGGTGGCCGACCTTTTTCAGGTTTAAACTGGCCGTCTGGAGAGATCCAGTTCCTAAACGTGGAGGGCTTCCTGTTGAACGACCCGTTCGACTCCACCGGTATCTTCCGCGCGTCGGACTGACCCGCGAGTGCCGTGTGCTGATGCGGAAGCGCACTACCCGTGCTCATGCTTGCTTTCCTGCTGGTGAAATATGCGGTGTGGAGAGACGAGACGTATCGTAGTGATGGACGGTGGCAGAGCGTTGCAGAAGAAAGTCTGCACAAGACGGTCGTCATAGACGAGGCGTACGGGGAGAAAGCTCGAGTTATAAGTACAATTTCGCAAGGGCGTCCGCACTGCTATTGGTAAGTGGCGTAATGTGCATTGCGTACCTCCGACGCGCTCGATGAGGCCATACACAGCTCTGATTGGCACACCACCCAAGTGGGAAAAGGTGCAGCCCTATTCAACATTGAATATACACGCCTTACCATTCCTTTGATGCCGGGCTGGGGGCATTGTCGACCCCATGGACTTGTGCTATGGCTAGCCAATATGGCCTAGAAAGGTGATTACTGCATCCTTTTTGCCTGTCACAGGGGATGAAAGATTGTAGATATATTCATGAAGCTTACTCAGAGTCTCTGGAGTGTGTCGCAGCTGTCTATAAGAGTCTGGATATCGTGTACATGATGCTCTTTGCCGTCCTTTGCAGCCCCGCCTGCTGAGGTTGCTGATTCATGGCGCTAAACACTTTGTGCCGGTCGTCTGTGGGCGGTATGGAGCGCACAAATTTACGCGAGACGAAATGACACATTATGCCATATCAATGAAAATGATAACAAGACGTTACAAATGCTGTGAGATGAGAAGCGACTTACCGCGGACGGTCAGGAGTCTGACTTGAAGCTGAATAAACAACTAAAGGAGATTTTGGAGCTTTCATGCGTGGAGGATATTAGCCTAATTGAGTGTACCACGACGCTCCCGCTTCCAATGCATCTGCCATCAACCTCTCCCAGGCGCCCAGGGACACCGTAAGCAAGATAAAATATGATCACAGGCGAAGGACATCTACTGCACGGCATTAATTTTTTTGTGTAGAATCTTGAACACGGCTGAAAGCGATGAGTTAAATGTATCTATAATCAGCGCATGCTTCAAGATTTTGCGCTGTGCAGAGGCCTACGAGAGCGGGGAGAGGTTATCAAACGCCAAGCGACGTGCCGGGAAATGAACGCTGAACCCTAGTCAGAGCCAGGCTAAGCCTTCAAAGCGTACATTCGCAAGCATGACTTGTCTTGTTCTGAGTGGGCAGAAGAAAAATTTGAGCCCTGCTCGTGACGAACATTTTTGGAAGGAGTACTTCCCCATGCCATTGTTTTCAAAGAAAGATGGAAGTGTTCGGGCTACTGCAGACCAAGACGAGCTAAGTGATTTCTTTCATGTTATTAATTATGCACGTTTACGCCAATCTGGCTACCTTGATTTTGTTCCATATGGCTGGCCGAATAACTCATCAGACCCCCATGCCTGAGAATCCCACATGCCTCTGTGGTTACTGACGCAATATTTGTCCGTTCTGGCCAAAGGGGGCTCTCACTGGCTATTCTGTAACCACTCCCGCTTATGCTAGAGAGGTGTGTACGCAGCCGTGGCTTACCTAGTACGAATTTTCCACCTTCACAGCTTACTGTACTTTTTCGACCTGACCGGCGGCCACAGGTCACACCGGTTTTCCGCTGATTCCTCGAATAAATATTTCTCGATTTTTGGCGAATTTAGGGAGTTGTCGGAAAAATCGATTTGAGCGCTTCCCGCCGATCAGGTCGAAAAAGTACAGTAAAGTCAAGTGCATTCAGCAGCTCACAAAAGTGACTTCGAAGCAGAGATAAAATATTTCATTGCGGTATGGGTAGCTCATGTAGTGAACTAAGGGTGTTTTTACGGATGTAAATGAGACGGGCAGTGCAAGAGACGGTGCGAGACGGAAGTCTAAGCAGACGCTCAACGCGAGTTGTTTTCAGCGCTTGACCTTTGCCCTCTACCGCTTTGATGGCCTGGTGCTACGTACCTGACCATCTCCCGTCTTTCTCGGCTGTGTACCCCCACTTCTCGCCGACGCGCTTGTAGTCGTCTTACATATCCAGAGTAATGCAATGCAATCGTTGTTCACAGCACATAGACAGAGTGAAGACCCGTTTCTCGATAACAACCAGGATTAGACTGAGATCTGTTGTTTCCCGTCGGTTCAACCTTGCCCACCCAGACAACAAAGTTCGATGTACCGAATCTCTGAGATTTATTGCGGCGCAGAAGATCAAACCGGAAGGCCTACAGATGTGTCCTGAAATTGTGCACGGGCCGCAAATGTAGGTAAATGTACGGCCCGCTAGATACCGGCGGAGCTATACAGTCAGACGATTCACGCAAGCCTTACGATTTCCTCTGCGCTCATATCTACCGTGTTGTAGGAGTATTGTCTCCATGCCGACGGTCTGACAAGGCCCTGGGTCAGGTATTTAGGCATGAGACCTATAACTCTAATAAAGCCTCTACAAGCCCTATGTAGTGAGTCGTCAACTATGTGATCTTCAGCCACATATGCGCAGGCGATATACTTCTTTTTGACATGCTTCTATTCTCCATTATAGTGTCGAGTGCGAACCGCCGGACACCGTTGCTAGCTTCCCTTTGCTCTTCCGACGGTACATATGTCCACATAACAACAGCCGTCTTCCCCTATAGACAAAACAGACCATCTTCGTGGTTTCTGATGCCAAGTCCAGAATCTCTAACTCGTGTTCTCCGCTGCATAAAACACCTCGCACACCATACCATGGCTTTCTCCAACTCGCTTTTGTCCCCTTCGAGCACCCAGACCTTGACGGTCTTTTCTGTTTTCACTCGTTGCCTGGTGCATTCCTTGGATTCAACAAGCTGCCAGCGGCTCCGACACATTCAGACACTCTTTGCTTGCTTATTTGCTGGCTCTCGTCCCCGATGGCGCGCTTCGTTTTCCTCTCTGTCGCTTTGCTTTCTGCAGCTGCTGCCTTGACTGGTGTCGGCGCTGCACCCATCCGTGCCAAACGTGCTGTCACGCAGACAGCGGCCAACTTTCAGGAGCTCTCGTATGTAAACTATAATTCTTCGCATTACTTCAAGTATTGAGCCTCCACATTTAGGTATGACCAGTTCCAAATCTCTGACGGCGTGGGCGGAGACGCTCAGACGCAGGCGAACGCCGTCTTCGTCGATCCGTTTGCCAACACCGACCTCACCACTGTCTCATCCGATGTCCTCGAGGCGCTGAACAGTATGGCTCAGGCGGCGGAGGATGCTGAGACGGCCCAGTTCGATCCCGAAATTGCCGCAGCGTCCGGCGCCGCAGCTGACGCGCTCCAAGTCGGGAAAATCAAGAATAAGGTGCTGAAGCTTACCGGCGAGGTGCAAGTCTTGAACATCAAGGTATCCTTCATTCGAATATACCCTGAGAATAGGAGGTTCATGGATTTCTACCAGATTGCACAAGCCAAAGCCGCGGGCAGCAGTACTTCTGATTTGGAGAGCCAGCTGCAGGACGAACAGACGAAGCTGACCACCGACGTCGGGACCGACACATCCAACGCCGGCAAACCGTCGCAAGGTGTGGTCGCTTCGAGCGGCGCAGATGCCTCCAGTGCAGCTGCCTCTAGCAGTTCGACTGCGTCCAGTGCAGTTGCCTCTGGCAGTTCGACTGCATCCAGTGCAGTTGCCTCTAGCAGTTCGACTGCGTCCAGTGCAGTTGCCTCTAGCAGTTCGACTGCGTCCAGTGCAGTTGCCTCTAGCAGTTCGACTGCATCCAGTGCAGTTGCCTCTAGCAGTTCGGCCGCTTCCAGTGCAGCGGCCTCGAGCAGCGCGGCCGCTTCCAGTGCCGTTGCCTCTAGCACCACAGCGGCCATCGAGGGAAGCTCCACTGCCACCGCCAATTCCGCGGCCGCTACCAGTACCGGCGTTGTCACGCAGACAGCCGCCAATTTTAAGCAGCTCGAGTACGTCGCATTACCGTCCCGCCACGTTTCCTCGCTGACGCACCCACGCAGCTACTCGCAGTTCCAGATCAGCGACGGCGTCGGCGGCGACGCGCAGACCCAGGCGAATGCCGTCTTCGTTGACCCCTTCGCCAACACGGACCTTACCACCGTCTCATCTGATGTCATCGAGGCGATGAACAATATGCGCGAAGCAGCCGAGTCCGCAGAGACCGACGACTTCGACCCTCAGATCGCCGCCGCGTCCGGTGCGGACGCCGATGCGCTGCAGGTCGGCAAGATCAAGAACAAGGTCCTGAAGCTCACGGGTGAAGTGCAGGTGCTGAACATCAAGGTATGCCTCCGTGTGTGGGACGCCATGACGGGTTGCTGATGCCTCGGCCCAGATCGCGCAGGCGCAAGCCTCGGGTAGCGACACCTCGGACCTCGAGAGCCAGCTCAGCGACGAACAGACCAAGCTGACGACGGACATAGCCACGGACAATTCCAACGCCGGAAAGCCTTCCGAGGGTGTTGCCTAAGGTGGTCCGTGTCTTGGCGTGTCTGATTGTGTGGGTCTTCCAGGATATTCCTCAGCCGTCGTTACATTCTGTGCAGTTTTTCAATGAAATGGCCACCTTCGAGTCTTCTAGGTACTGCGGTATGATAAGAGTGAGCGAGTACAGTGTCTAAGCACGCGCGATGTCGGTGCACGATTGTTGGTCTCTCGGACTCGGGTCAATGTTCACTGTAGAGCATTCTCCGCGCTAGCAAACCAACATCGTTTCCAGTCGCCGGTCTTTCACGACTGCCAGATAAGAACTTTGTTCCAGGTTTCGTACACTTGCAAAATCGGAAAGAACAGACCATGAGGCTCGTTGCTGGGATCTAGCATCGCGAAGCGACAGTAGGGTTAAAGTGTCGGCTCTAAGTTTCAGAGCTTGGCTACTGGAGCTTTCTCAGCTGAGCCTTGGATTGCCTTCCAAAGCGCATGCGCCGTAGCCTCCGGACGCTGCTGAGGAAACCGAATATAGAGGTGCATCAGGATCTTCTCAAAAACCCTAATCATGAAGACTAACCATGTGGGTCATATTTTCAACGTGCTGGGCGCTCGCTGTGACGTCCGTTTCGGAGTCGGCACAGATATCTGGGGTGGTCGTCGACGAGGGGGACCAACGAGTCTACTCGTAGGAGCAGAGGTGTGCCCTCAAGCCCTCGACGGTCGCTCAGGACCGAGAGGATCCTCAATGGTTAATCAGGCCGCGCCGTAAGAGGCGCAAGAGACTTAGAGGAGCGGTCGTACCGCTCTTGTATTCCTTACACGGAGCTCACTATTCACCTAGTCGGCGGCTCCCTGGAGCGCAGACGGTGAAGTGGGCAAAAAGTGGCGGTGATTTACGTAGCTAAAACAGAACTATATAGACGTGTGCCTCGGGGGCAGCCCGACTGAAGCAAAAGATCCGCCGCGCGGCCCGATGGGCGGAGACTCAACCTCTCGCGCTCGCGACTTCGACCGCCATCAGTCCCACAGCGGTCACACTCGCAGCACCCCCGCCGTGTTTTCCCTTGAACTGCACCTTTTTCAGCTCTGCTGCGCTACAGAGCAAGTTGGCATGATCATTATGAAAATTTCATACCAGTATAACGAAGTGACATTCACCCGATTCACCTTTTTCGCTCAGGATGGCGTGCGCGGGAGGGCCGCGGGCATGGAGATGCTGGAGCTGATTCAGTTCGGCGGCCTAGACACGGGAACTTATTAAGTTACACCGGACTAGCCACCCAGAAGCGCCCATGAGCGGCTAAGACACGCTGAAGAATTTCTGAAAAGCCCAAAAAATGGCATAAGCGGGAATCGAACCTGAGACCTAGAAGTAACCTCAACGCGCCACGCCACTGGGGCATAAGCTCTTGAAAGTAGAGAAACGGAATTATGATACATTACCATTTTTTCACCTTGTCTTAGCTGCTCAAGTCTTATGTTCTACCACCCATACACTATTTTCCTGATATAAGGCATTTACTGGTGAATTACCCCGCATAGTGTTTCGTTAGCTAAGACCACGGCACGGCTAAGACACCGGCGCGGCTCAGACGTTGGCGTGGCTCAGACGTTACCGTGGCTCAGACACTGGCGTGGCTCAGACGTTACCGTGGCTCAGACATTGGCGTGGCTCAGACGTTACCGTGGCTGGCCGTGGCTAAGACATACCATGTACAATACTACAACCTTACCGTAATTACAATAATTTCCAAGCAGCGCAACCGAGGCATGAAACTCAGCGATAGAGTAGCGGGGCCCCTCGCCGAAACACCTGAAAAGAGAGGCTTCCTGCTTGAGGGGCCAACGGCGGAACCAGCCGACAGCAGGGCCGTGCCGCTCCTATGC